AGGGGCCCTCATCTCCCCCACCAGGGGGCATCTCACAACTGAGTGTCCTGCGACCCCCACAGCCCTGACTATGGGCTTTGACATCTGGGAGAGAGCTGTGTCAAGTCCCCGAAATTCCCTTTCTACTCTGTAGGCACTGACCCCGCCCCTCCTGAGGTACTTACTGGTCGCCAGGTCCTGAGGCCCTGCTTTCTGCCCCATTCACTGGGAATGCCCTTACTTGAGGACAAGAGACCTTCTTCCTGGCATCCAGTCTGGACCATGGGAAGGTGGGGCTTTTGTGGCCACTCGGGACCCCTGTCCTCATTCACAGGGCCCCATGGCCTTATCCACTGGACCACTTCCAGGTGTTGCCCCTGGCCCCAACCCATTCTTAGCTTGGCCGCTTCTGGTTGATCACCTAGCCTGGCCCCCCAAAACCCCAGCCCCCTTGTTTAGGTCTTAGGTCGCTGCTGCTGGGCAGCCGGCCTGACAGCCAGCAGGCTTTTCCCCCGTGTCCCTGCCCACTAGCCTCTCTCCTGCTTAGGTCACAAATGCTGGCTCTTCACCTGGCCCAGCTCTTGTTGACATGACTGCCTACTACTGTTCGCCTGGCCCTCCCCCTATTTGACTTGACCACTTCAGCTCTAGGCCTGGCCCCGCCCCCTCGTTCATTGGACCAATAACCAAGCAGCACTGGTCAGGCTGCCCTGCTACTCACACAGGACTTGCTCAAGGCTCTGTAGGATTGCAGAGTTACATTTTATAGAATCTAAATTAAATTTATGTTTGAGTATTTCATTACATTTTCTTTAAAATAGACTGTATGTTACTGAATAGTATAAGAAAAATACAGTAGTTATAAACATATATATGATAAATACAAATATTTTAAAACTTCATATAAAGGAGAGGAGGGAGCCCTCTCTGCCGTCGCAGTTGTAGGCCAGGATCTAGGACCACAGGCCTCATCGGAGCTGAGGTTAGTTGCTCAAATGCTGTAGGTGGTTCCACATCTGGTTTTCAAGGACAGCTGTGCCTGGAGCCTGCATTGGCTCTGGAGATGACACAGAGTTGGCATTTCCTCTTCAGGTGTTTCTTGATCTTGCTCAGGAGCTGCTTCTGTAGATCCAGGAAGAGAACATGTTATACCATGACTGCCTTTTGTGTGCCTTCCAAGGAAGGGAACCTCCCATCTCCATCACTGAAGTCCCAGTTCAAGCCCCCACCCCAGGAGCCCTCCACACTGCAGGCCATGGGCACTGACCTGCACGACCCTGTGCTCCTGCCTAACACCAGCCTCTGGGAGCTCATCTCCTCGTGGGCAGCCCCATCCCCTCCCCACTCACCCACATCACCAAATCCACATGCACAGCTCTCTGACTCCTTCCATTTTTTTCCAGAAGCCCTCAGACCCCTGTCCTCTTGCAGAAATCCCACAAGGCATGGGACTCAGAATGTTACCTGCACCTCCAAGACACAGTCCCCATATTCCCCTTAAGGTTCTGATCCAAAGCCCACTCACTTTTTCTGCTGCTCCAGAGATCCACTTTCTGCTTCAAAAAATGAGAAAATGCAGCAATACTTGGAGAAAGAAGTCACATTGACTGTCCTGTGGACACTACCTGCCTGAGCAGCCTCGTGTGACTGAATCACTCCTAATTAGAAGGAAGCTCTTGGGTGCAGTCCTGGGGGCAGGGAATTTCCTGACTGAATGAGCCCAAACCAGCCCCATCTCAGATAGCTAGGTGACACGAGGGACCCCTGCTCACCCCTAGGATTTCTAATCTGGCTTCACCCAGGACAAGGACCCCTAATGGAATTTCCAGTGTTTTTATCCCAAGAGAAAATAGCTCAGCCTAAGGCCTGAGGAGAATCACAAATAAGGTAGAAGCTTCTTTAAAAAGAAGACAAAATGGCCAATTAGGACAATCATAGCCCCTCCAGCACACCTCCCCAGTGTCCAATTTTGACAGGGCCTTTTTTCCAGGGGAACACCCCCCACCCCAATTCCCTACAATAACCTATGAGGCTGGGCCTCAGTATTCCCCATGGTCAAAGAAACAAACACTCAGAGAGATGCAGTGAGCTGAAGACTCACAGCAAGCAGGTGGCGGAGTGACCACTGTGCTGTGGAGGGGCAAGGCTCATCTAGTACATGGTTGGTCCCACCCACATTGGTTAGTAGCAAATGTTCTGTATGAACACAGAAAGGTGGATGGGGACCAAGGTGGGGATGTTGCCTAGGAAGCTGGGCACCAAGTATTTGATCAGTTTGCCCACTCTTCCTGGGCAGCCTGCACTGTACATCCTTTATTTGATTTCTGCCTTGCAAGGGTCAAGTGTATTTGGAAGCCCAAGTGAGTGGTGTTGGGGTCAACATGAAGGCCCAGGGCTGGGATGTCTGGCCTACATGTTGGGCTCAGGATGACTCACAAGGAAGCCAGTCTTTGTTCTCTGGCCACCCAGCTCTGAGTCTGGGCACCGGGGGAGCCAGCTCCCTGGGAAACAGAGTCCCAGATCAAGGAAGAACAGGTGGAGAAGGTGAGGATAGTTCTCCTTGCGTGGGTCAGGGTCCAGAAAAACAGACTTGCTTAAAGTTCTGAGGGTTTATAGGGTTAAATTTTATAGAAACTAAATTAAGGGTATGTTTAGGAGATTTCAATAAATTTTCTCTACAATAAACTCTATCTTACTAAATATCATAAAAATTCAGTAAAATTGTAAGAATATATAACATGAATAAAAAATGTTTAACAATGCATCTAAATGAGGTTGGGGGCGCCCTCTCTGCCATTGCAGCTGACATGTGCTGTGGCCCCGAATCTGGCACCACAGGCCTCTCAGGAGCTGGCAGATGTGTTTCTTCTGCTTCTTGAAGTTCAGTGAAAGCTGGGCCTGGACCCAGCTCTGGCTCTGGTGTGGCCTCTAGGGTGGCGTTGCCTCTGGAGGGTTTTCCTGACGTTGCTCTGGAGCTGGTTCTGCAGATCCAAGAAGAGGGCATGTTACCACCCTCACTGCCTGCTGTGTGCCTTCCAAAGGCACACTCACCCACACCACCCCAGAGGCCTCCTCCTCCTCCTGTCTCAGCCTCAGTGGGCGCAGGTGCTCCAGCCTTGACTGGAGGCACTGGGCCTGGCTTGGCAGGTCAGGGTCTGGAAAGTTGAGCTCTATGGAGGCCAACAGCATCATCAGGCTGGGAAATTCTGGAAGTGCTGGTCTAGCCAGATGCCCAGGAGGCAGGAGATGGCCCTGGGGAGAGAGATGGGTGGGAAACAGACTATGAGGTGTGCCCTTTCCTCCCAGAGGTCCTCTGCCTCCTGCTCCTGCCCATCCAGAAGCCAGACCTACTCCTTGTCCACCTTCATTCTGGCAGTCCTGGAAGACATGTGCCTGGTCACCCAGAAAAGGCTGGTAGAAAGTACTCCTACCTGGCAGATCTGGATCAATGAGAGAACCACCTGTCCCCTTGTTCAAGGGAACCTGGCATGGTCTCTCAGTGTCCCTGTTCCCTCCCATTAAACTGAGAGGGCTGCTGTCTACCCTGCTCACGTCACTCATTGGCACAGAGTAGGTGCTTCAGGAATACCGACCAATGGAGAAACAACGAAGCCCAGGGCCTTCCTGTCACCTCAAACTTTGGCTCCTGCACCTACATGCTGGGTAATTCACTAGTTGTGCTGTGTGGTTCTTTGCCTCCCACTGAAAGTAAACTCCCACAGGGTGGGGTACACCCTCCAAGCCGCCATTGAGGAGGTTCTACCAGATTAGTTAGCAAGGTCTCAGGATAGGGGTGCAGGGAGGGCTGGGATTAGGATCAAAATGGTAAAGATTTTCTGAGGGTCTGACTCTCTCACTGACCTCCCACTACTCGCCCACACCACCCATATCCATATGCACAGCTCACTGACTCCTGTCCTTTTTTCTAGGAGAAGCTCTCAGACCTCTGCACTCTGGCAGAAATCCCATCATGTGTGGTATCCAGGGTTCTGCCAGCACCTTCAATTCACAGGCCCCATACTCCCCTCATGGCTCTGACCCAAAACTGACTCACGTTTTCTGCTGGAACAGAGGTTCACCTTCCTCTTCACTGTACAGGAAGATGCAGCCATGGGTAGAGGAGGCCAGGAGGACATCACATCAGCTGTTCTGTGGACACTAAGAGCCTTGCAGCCTAGTGTGACTGAATCACTCCCAACTACAAGGAAGCTCTGCAGTGCAGGCTGGGGGTCTGCTCTGTGCACTGGATTATGGTCAGTGCCTAGAGACGTGTCTGTATCTGGCAGGGCTTCTAATATATCTGCTGAATGAATGAGCCCAAACCAGCCCCATCTCAGATACCTGGGTGACCCTAGGGCCACACTCCTCACCCCTGGCCTCTCTGATCTGGATTCACCTGAGATATACACCGCTAATGGGATCTCCAATCTCTTTATGAAATGAGAAAAGAGCTTAGCCCAAGGCCCCAAAGAGAATCACAAATTTGGCAGAGGCTTCCTCAACTGGAAGAGAAAATGACCCACTGGCTAAATCACAGTCCCTCCAGCAGACCTCTCCCCTGTCTAGGCACCCAGAGGACACTTACCTGGAGGACCCCAGCCAGTCCCAACAATAACCCTATGAGCTGGCTCCCAGGTTCACTGAGGGTTCAGAGCAACAAACACTCAGAGAGTGCAGTGACCTGTAGGCAAACAGCCAACAGGTGGCCTGGTGACCATGCGCTCTGCAGGGGAGGGGCTCACCTGGTAAATAATTGGTCCCACAGCTGTTGGGTGGTAGCAGACGTTCTATAGTAACAGACAGGAACGACTACGGTGGGTTCCTTGCTCAGAAATTCGACCATTTTGTCTCGCCAGTGTGCCAGGAAATGTGCGCCATACAGGTTTTTTGGGTGTTTTTTGTTTTGTTTTGTTTTTTGTTTTTCTCCCTGTGAGGCTGAACTTCATTGGGAACCCTGAGTATGTAGTGCTGGGGCCAGTTGTCTGGTTGTCAGGCTGGCTCCTAAGGTTTGACTGACTGGCTTCCATGTTCTGCTCAGATGCCCACAATCAGAGACCAGCCCTTGGCCTCTTGCCACCGGGCTCTGAGGCTGGATACAGGCTGGAGCTGGCTCCCAGGGAAGCAGAGTCCTGGCTTCTAGGAAGGGCAGGACTTCAAGGCCAGAACCTTCTGGCTGGGAATGTTGGGCATCCTGAGGCCAAAACACATCTCCCACGATTCTCCAGATCAACACTGTCCTCTTGACTCCCACCCGCCAGAGCGTTCTGGTTATTGAACAGAGTCGTGAGGAGCTCCAAGTGAGGGGCAAACCCCCTTAGGTTCCAGGCTATGAGTGCATTTGAAACCCAAAATGGTTTCTCTTTGTGTTTCCAGGGTCTGTGTCTGTACTAAACTGAACTGTTCACAGAAAAGCAGCTTCTGGGCAAGTCCAAGGCAGGGTGAAGGGCAGGGAGAGGGGGCGGGCTAGAAGGTGGAACTGGAGTGTCCGAAGATGCAGATGGGGAAGTGCTTGACCTGGGAGGACCACTGGGCTGCCAGCTGGAGGAATGTCACGTCGTTCCACTCCACATCATCGATGATGACCGGCAGCATGTGCTGCTGGTGCTTGGCCTTGCAAACCAGGCGATGGATGCCATGGATGCACTGGCTTGTGGACTCCACTTCCTCGTCCTTGGCTTTCTTGGGCACCTTCTTTGTCTTCTGTTTGGTGACCACTGTCATGGACCTGGTGGTTGTTGCTGTGGCCTGACCACCGCTGGGCAGCCTGCTGACCTGGACAGACTGGAAGAAGCACTTGAGTGTGCTTTTGGCGGCAAGCATGTCTTTCTTCTCTGCAACTCTCTTTGTGTCTATTGGCTGGGCTGCAGTCCAGTAATCCACCTGCAGCTGCATCATGTCTGCATGGACACTCTGGCTGGAGGAGGACAGGCCCCCACTCATTGATGTGGGGGAAAGTGTGTTGGATGAGGCCTTGCTGGCAGGGGATAGAAGCTCGCTGGAGCAGGAAGGGCCCACATCATCTGAGTCTGCTGACATGGCTGAAGATGGTTCCGCTCTTCCAACCTTCACTGCCCCCACAAAGGGGATGAACTTCTTTGAGGACATCTCATCGGGACCCTGCTGCTGAAACATGAGCACGGCCTCTGCGATGGGCAGCAGGTAGACACAGTTGGCCCCAGTGACGTACTCTGTGATTCTTGACACAACGTCCTGTGTGTCCTGCAAGATGTTCAGAGATTCCAGGTTGTTGAACATGTCCCACCAGTACAGGTCCTGGAAGAAGTTGTCGTAGCGGCAATCCATGGAGCCCAGGTAGCTGGCCAAGGGGTGGGAACCCAGTGGGATGACCAGGAAGCGCAGGTAGTCCAGCCATTGGGGTGGCTGGTGGGACAGCAGCTCCACAAAGACCCGCAGCACAGCATTGAAGTAGGGCTGTGCCCCTGCCACTGTGATCTTCACAGATGTCAGGGCCTGGGAAGTGCAGTTGCAGTATCTTTGCATCCAGGACATGATGATGCTGAAGGCCTCCTGGATGTCATCTGTGGAACAAGTGCATACCACGGGCAGCGTGTGCCCCTGCAGGATGTTGGAAAGTAACTGGCCCTGCCAGTCTGAAGTGTTGACCAGAATGATGTTCTCAGGCAGCTTGTCTGGGCAAATGAGGATGACATTTAGCTGGTCATGCACGGACTTGCTGGGGATCTGCCGCTGGCTCTGTGGTTCTGGGTCCTCTTCATCCTGTCTGTTGAACCACTCATTCAGGGATGTGTTGCAGCTCTGATGGCCAGCCTGCTTCCTCTTGGACCTGCTGGAGGGGATGACTAGAGACTTGGTGAAGCGCACTATGGATGGCAGCTTCCTGGTGAACCAACCCCTGGCAGAGGATGCTGCCTCCCGGCTGTCCTCCAGCTGTGCCAACTGCATCCTAGGGGAGCAAATTCTTTGGTCCACTGAGTCAGAGTTGCTATCATTTGACATGCTGTCAAAGTATCGCCTGAGCTTGGGCTTTGGGGTACTGGGGACTCTGATATAGTCCTCTGTGTTTAGGCTACTCTAGCTTGAGCTCTCCACGATGTCATGGTGATGGACCAGGACCTTCTCCACTTTGGGGACATACATCACAAGGGTCTGTTCTGAGGACAGGAACTTCTCCAATACTTGGGCCATGAGCATAGATGCCACAGCTTCCTGGTGGTAATTCTGTTGCAAGGTGGTGCACCTCCTTCTTACTATCAAGTTCCTTTCCTCAAAGTTATCCTCCTGGGACTGCTTGTGGGTGGCACTGTAGCTGGCTGCCTGCTGAAAGCAGAAGCTCTCAGACGTGCCTGTGGAGTCATTATACGAGGTCTGGGCCTTGGTGCTGGCCTGCCTGGCACTGGCCTCATGATCGATGGGCTGGCTGGACAGGGAGGCCATCTGCATCTTGTCCACCTTAGTGGTGCATGTACTGTAGGCCACCAATTTTGAGTCGCTATGGCTTGGCTGCTTGCCTCCCGGGGTGCACGTGTTCTCAGGCACCTGGGCCAGACTCAGAGACTCCTTTTGGATCCTGGCGCTGTGGGAGCCCCTCATCTCCATCTGCAAGCTGGAGTCTGACAGGCCCTCGATGCATGGCCTGAGCTTGGGATTGGGGCTGCTGAGGATACTGTGATTGTCCTTCATGTCCGAGGCATTAGACAGACCTTGAAAGTATGGCCTGAGCTGAGGTGTGGGGGTGCTGAGGACCCTGTCATCGTGCTCAGTGTCTGGGCCACTGTCACTGGGGTTCTCCAGCATGTCATCCAGGAGGTCCAGGTCCTCTTCCACTTCCAGGACATGCTCCCCATGATCCTGCACAGGGTCCAGGGCCTCCTCCCACACTTGGACTGTGTGCAGCCATAACAGGACTTTCTCTTGTAGTTCTGTTGCATGGTCATGGTCCTCCCTGTGACTTCCAGATTCTTTTCCTTGAAGTCATCCTCCTCCTGTTCCTGCCTGTGGGAATCATTGGAGCTGCCCTCCAGCTTTGAGAAGCAGGTTTCACACTTGCATTCAGAGGAGCTGTCTGAGGATTCAGCCTTGCCATTGGTTTGCCTGGTGCTGTCCTCGTGGTCGATGGGTGGCCTGGACAGGGAACAGATTCGGATCTTCTCCACCTGGCTGGTGGGTGTGCTGTAGGCATCAAATTCATTGTCACTCTCACTTGGCTACTTGCCTCCCATGGCCCATGCATTCTCTGGCATGTGGCCAGACTCAGAGGCTCCATTTGGCTTCTGTCATTATGGCTGCCCCACATCTTCGACTGCGAGCTGGAGTCTGACATGTCTTCAAAGTATAGCCTGAGCTTGGGCCTAGGGATGCTGAGGACGCTCTCATCATCCTCCATATCAGACCGATGGTCCCTCTCTGACATTTTGGACCTGTGACACAGAGCCAGGACTTTTCGCTTCAAGTCCATTCCTCTTATGGACCGCCGCTGCTTCTTTGGCTCCCCCTTCCCAAAGTCATCCTTGTGCAGACCCTGTCTGTGCTTTCCATTGCAGCTGGCCTCCAGCTCAGACAAGGGCCTCTGAGTGTAGTTACCTGCAAACTTGACCTTCGGCCTGGCCCGCATGGCACTTTCCTCATGTTTGATGGGCTGACTGGACAGGGAGGAGATCCAGACTTCAGCCACCTTGGTGGAGGACTCCTTGACGGTGCTGTAGAGGCTCAGCATATGGCCGCACTTGGAGTTTCTCTTCATGACATCAGCCATGTGGATGGTGCCCATGGCCAGTGTCTTATAGCCCAGGACGATCCTGTTCTTATAGCGTTTCCTCTGCTGCAGCATGATCTGCAGCTTGTTACCTTCCCTCTTGGGGAAGTGGGGGTACTGCAAGGAGAAGGTCAGCACCAGGTCAGTCTCCACTGGTTCACTGGGAGGCAGCATAATTTCTTTGGACCTCAGGATGCCCTTGGAGTCCTGCATCTTCACAGAAATCACCACAGAGACTATGTCCTTCACCAGCTCCCTGAAGACCACTAGCTTCTTTAAAGTGACACTGCACCATCTGGGCACACAGCTGGGGCTGGAGCAGTACACCGCCCAGTTGGCTAACAGGTTCTGGGCTACCTGTGTTTTGAGCACAGTGGATGTGTTGGCCAGCCCCACAGTTCATGAGCAATCTACAGCTGGTGGCACCCTACGGGTCCTTTTCCTACTCAGGATTGATGCTTTGTCCTCCTGTGGTGGGACAGAGGAGAGACATGATTGGTGACAAGAGGTGGGGCATAGGTGATTGAGTGTGCAGACACAAAAAGTGGCCACTCACTAAACTGTGATTAGGTAAGAGAAGGCCTGGGTGGTGGTCTTTTAAACTCAGAGACCTAAAGTTATTCCACAGGATGTCCTAAAATTAAAACTTAACTAAAAGTAGTTTTTGGCGGGTTGCCCTGTCCTAGGCTGGAATCTTCTCTAAAAAAAAAAAAAGATGATTCTTTACCTTCACTGAACCTGCTTATTGTATTTTGCAATGTACAAGAACATAGCTTTGGAATATCAATGGAATTTTCCTTGTTCTGGACTCTCTGTGCTCTGTGGAGACCACAAATCCCCTCATTGTTGAGTTCATTGATGGCTGTTCTATCTTTTATCCACATATGGAAAAGAATTATGTGTCCATCATTTTACTTTTTATACAATCTATCACCAATGGGTTTCATGCAACCTACATACATCTCCACTGTTGATTGTAATATCTAAAATAAGGTGAAAGCTGCCATTCTCAAAAGCATTATTTCAATCCATTGAGATTTTGCTTTAAGACAATTGACAGTTTGGCTCAGATAAAATCCCAACAATTGTTCACAGTTTTGAATTCTTTATTGACATTTACTTGGCACAATACAGCAGGATCCCAGAAAAGCTCACCCAGCACCACCCTGCAGATCTACACCTGATGCTGGGATGCAGCAGAGGGCCCATTGACCCACCAGTTCCCTGTCCATCGGGTGAACTTGTGTGAGTTGTCTCTTGAGTCCAGGACCTGCTCTTGCTTGTGCTACTGATTTTATTTAAGCCATATTTTTGAATACTCTTGGTGGAACTAAGGTTAACGCTTGACAGATCTCAGGCTAAGGAGAGACAGGAGGAAAAATGAGCCTGGTTCTTGCTTTTCTGTTGGAATTGCCTTTTGAGAGACTGGGCTAAACACCTTAGATGTATAAATGAGAGCTTCTCTGGTTCACCTAGGAAGATAAAGGGGCCCATCCTCCTTCCCGCAGGAATCTCAGGTGTTCTTGGATATATCGGAGGTCCTTCCTCATGACATGCCCAAGCCCCATAGTGAAATTACCAAACAACGGTGACCAAACTAATTGGCTCTTCACAGGGAGGACTAATCAGATTTGGTCCACCTGCACTGGAAGCCCTTCTGGTGGTTTTACACAGCAGGGAGAGAAACCGAGGCACATAAGAGGGTTGGATGAGACTCTAGGGGAGTGAGCATCGTGCAGCTCAATCTACAAAGCTACACACTTCAACCCACTACATCACATCCTTGAAGATGTGCTGAGATTCTGCAGACACCAAACAACAATAAAAACAGCAGCAGCAAACACACCTCTAGTTAACATGGGAAGTTGTGCCTCCATGGAACTCCCAGGCTCCAGCCCTCATTAATATCCCTGATAGAAAGCCGTGACTTGCAAGTGCTTTATAGAAATAGGAAGATTTATCTAGAAAATATCAACTGAAAAATGGTCAACATACAATTGTCTTTGGTGCCTACATTAATTTTTCCCAGGGGAGGAAATAAAACTAGAAAAATGCTGGCCTGAGAATTAAACTGATTGAATGAATTGGACGCATATCTTGATTTTGAAATTAGAAAATTCTAAGGAGAATCCCAGATAAATGCTCTTTAAAAAAGAAATTTCGGTGATTATCTCCTGAAGTTAATAAATGCTAACATGCCATCTCCCACTTCTATTGCATGCCCACTACATCTTTTGTCCCCTGAGCTTCCTTGTCCAGAAGTGTTCCTTCCCTTTCCTTCTTCCTTCCTCTTCTGACTCCTCCACTACCACTCCCCACTGACTTAAGGGAAAATGAGAATAGGAATTCTACCAAGTCCCTTTGGAGGAAAGCTGTTCTCAGCCACCGAGGAACCAGCAATCCTTCTCCATTCTCTCTGCGGCCTTGTTTGGTTCACCAAGAAACTTCACTGTTGCAATGAAATCCATGAAATCCTGGCCATTCTAACCTATGCCAATTAATATACTCCAGGTTTCTGGGAGCACAGCAACAGAATTACTGAATAAGATTGTTAGAAAACTGCTGTGGAGAAGTCTGCCCATTTTAAGGATTATAGGAAATGAAATAGCGTTTAGAAAAAGTAAACAAAACAAAAAAAGTATAGGGTGGCTCCAATGTGTTTCCCCATCTCACTGATAGTTTGGGAGAATTTTAAATTATCATTAAAAGGGAAGCCACTAACTGACCTAGCCACTTAGTCTCATGGGATAGAGCATCAGCCTGAGGATCGAAGGGTCCAGGTTTGATTTTGGCCAAGGGCACATGCCCAGGTCGCAGGCTGTATCCCCAGTAGGGGGTGTGCAGGAGGCAGCCAATTGATGATTGTCTCTCATCATTGATGTTTCTATCTCTCTCTCCCTCTCCCTTTCTTGCTGAAATCAATACACATCTATTTTTTTTTAAAGGGGGGAGAGTGAAGAGAAGCCACTAAGTCTCCTATATATACTGAGGCTACTTTATTTGTTCTTAACCTCACTCAAATAATTGTTTCCCTACAATTGTCTGTTTTTAAATCAAAACCTGCTTCCTTGCAACAAGGGAATGTTATGAGACTATATATAAATGGAATAATTATCAAATCTTCCCCAATTCACCTGATAAATGAGTGGGTTTTTGTCTTTTTAATGAATCAGTGATGCTGACATATGCCTTTTCCATAATAGTTACATATACACTTAGACTAAATGAACCAGATACTAAACCAAGAGGGAAATTAATGATTTTAAACGAGCCTTCCAGGTGGAAACTAACCTTGAGACTGACCGAACATTTGCTAGTCATCTTTCCTTCATTATTGTCTTCCACGAGAGCCTGAGAGTTGGTTTCACAGGATACCCACCCTACCCAGAATGGCCCCAAGCAACCCAAACGTGTGCAGAGATGCCTCTAGTACTGGGCTTGCTCTTATGTCTCTCTGTAGATGGGGAAACAGCCCACAGTGATGTGAGAGTGCTCTTATGGGGTACATATCCATTAAATGGCTAAACTTGACCCTGGGTCCCTCAAGGAAGAGTCCAATCTTCTTTTGTTGTACCACATACCTGTTCCCAATATAAAGTGGGTAATAGAGAGGTTTTGCATCATTAATTTTAAGACTATCATACATCTAGGACCTGTCTTGCCATTCCCAAGGGAGATGGACAGAGGTTTCATATACCTGAAGGCCTTTATACCTCTCAGAGGTGTGTGCTTTCTGGAAACTAGAAAAAATGTACCCAAATAGAAACATTCCAAAAATGGTGAATGATTTTCTCAGTCCCTTGCCAACAGTTGGGTGGCAACCCAGAACCTGAAGTTTTGAAGATGACTATCCTTGTTTTACAAATGAAGTTTTCAAGAGGCCAGAGTTTTGGTTCCAGAAACATGTCAAAGCAAGCCCACCAAATCCTTTTACCTTCCCCAAACCTCCCCTAGTCATTTAAGAGGCTTGTAGATAATTGGCTTTATGCAACCAAAGTCCCAGAACCTTTGAAGTGGAAATACCTGAGTTCACCAAGACCTCTTGTGTAGGCCATTTGTCTCTGGAAGATATGTCTTATCCCAATAGAAAAAAATACTTTATGCATCTGCACAAATCATTTTAGCTTATTTCAACTATTTCTTTCTAACTTGGATTTAATGAGAGTTATTGAATATCTAGATATTTTGAAATAACATGAAATACTGAAACATTGCTTGGTTTAGTTTTTGGTTCACCTGCTTTTGGGTTTTTTATTACAGAAGGTCTGTAAAATGGATTTGGAGCTGTTGATGTAATGTTCTGTGCTTTGTGAAAGGTGTGTTTATTGAATGTGAGAGTGATTACAATATGTTCATCACCGTCAATTTATTCATTTTGTGGTTATCATTGTAAATTAAGGCTCCTAAGATTAAAAGTTCCAGCTAAGAAGGAAGAAATTGCATAATTTTGATAACAGAAGGCTTGAAGTATGAGGAGTCATATTTGAAGGAAAAAGTCAAATGCAAATTTCTCTAAGGATAGTTATTTCTGAATGGGTGAGAAGGTTTGTGAAAGTTAAGAAAAGGTTTGTAAAAGGGGATATAGACTATAAACTTTTGTGAAAGTTTTACATAAAATATTGCGGTATTTCTCTGTAAAAATTAGTAAATTAAAATTGTGTGTATAGTCTTTATGTGATATGTGTTCATCTATGTGTTATGTGTGGTGAATTTTCAACCTCCAGATGGCATTACTAGGATATAATCTTTTATTAATCTAAAAGGTTAAATATTTATGTAAATTAAGGTGAATTCTATAGTTTGGACAAAATATTTAATATTAAAACTGTTTATAAGTATTATTAATATCTCTTAGAGTTATTACCATAAGTCTGTGTTTGCTTTAGTTAGATTTACAAAAATTCCATGGTATAACCTTTTGCATAAGTATATTTGACAACCTTCCTAAAATTTCTATTTTAAGAGACTTTTTAAACAAAAGATGAGTTTGAGTTAATTCCAATGGGCCCTGAAATACCTTAAGGATTTATTTATTCTCTCACCTTATTAAAGGACCATAGTGGACCTGAATTAGTCCTACTTCATATGCTTGAAATTACCTGAGAAGCTTAACCAATTTAAAAAATGAAAACAACTGTGCTATTTGTGTACATATATTTTTATTAAAATGGAAGTTCTAAATATTTCAAACTGTCCTAGGAAGGATGGTAGAAAGATTCAAAGAAAAG